AATATAGAAATAGTCATTGAATCTTTCAGCATGATTGAGCATCTGCAGATGGAGCAAAATAATCACAACGATATGTTTCAAAGAATTGTTTCTTGAAATTTTCCATAAAAATGTTTCGTCTTCAAACTTTCCTGATTTAAATTTTATGAATTTTATGATCAATTCTAGAGTAAAAAATCTTCTATTCAAAATATATTGTAATGCAACAATATGAAAGTCTTTAAAAAAAAAACAAATAATTATGACAGAGTTAATGGACATCGTCAAAAATTAAAAAAATAATCCTCTTGACCCTTGTATTAAATATAAAGGTAATGATTTTAGAAATGTTTAGTATAAAATAGTTTTCTATTACCCTTATTAATTAATAATAAAAAAAAAAAGTAAATGGTAAAAAGTTACAAGCTTCGAAGTTATTATCAGTTATTTATGATTACCTTATAGATTACGTATTTAATTATTATATATATCAAAATATAATGAAACTATATTGTTATCTAATATATCATTAAATTATCAGATTACAATATATAATTGTTCTATAAAATAATAATAATAATAATAATAATAATATATCAAAATATATGATAAAAATATCTTTCATATATATAAAATAATATTATTTTTTAAATAAATATAAACCTTCTCTATTTTCACTTTCAATTTCGATGTTTCCGTTTAAGGAGTTTTTATTATTTATTTGTACGAGTCTTATTATAAATGTCACGTGAATTGTTATTATAAAATGTAGTATTATTAAAGGCAACATTTCGAGCTCGTTAAAGAAGAGCCGGAAGTATGGGCGCAAGGTCGAGACTAAAATCTCTTAAAATGTCTCTTCGAGACGTGGCACCTGACACGATCTAACCTAGTGCTAGAAAACTCGCCGGCACTCGAGATTGCGTCAGGTCCTGGCAAACGTGCCGAAAGAGATAAAGCGATGGCTGGGTGCTCGTACCGATATCTCTTCGTTCTCGCTTCTTTCTACGAGATAAAGACACTTAACTCCTGGCTCAACTTTTTCAACTTCAATCGCTTTTAGTCTCCATACTCTTCCAATCGACGACTACTTCGATTTAACCCTTTAATGTACATTTAACCACGATTGGAAACCTTAAATCTATGTATTACCAAAATTAGAACATATTCATGTATTTTTCTATTTATCAATTTTATTTACATTCTATTTTGTATGAAATATTCAAAATTTTATAACAATGAATATAAATTATATTTTCATTGAATTTAGTAGTATAATTTTAACGTATATTTTGTTATCAATGTTTTTTTTTTTTTTTTTGTATAAATATGAAATGGTTATGACAATGCATCTAATTATATTCGTTTTATTTATTTCATAAAATTAGTATATATTTCTTTTTGAAAAATGTCTACGATTATGAGTTAAAGGATTAATTGATTCTAGATTTTTAATTTTGGACGAATATAGAGAATTTAGTGGAATTAAATACAAGGTGTTTTTTAAATTGAAAAATTATAAATTTATAATATACTAGTATTCGTGTGAATGATGTTTTTGTTTTGTAGGGTTGCGTCAGGGTTGCTTTATTTGCTCGGTTAACCCTTTGAGTATCAAAATTGATAGGAACCTCTGTGAGCGGTTGTGGGAGTTCAGCCAATAAAATTGAAGTTTGTCATTAATTAATGTAATGGTATACTGTTAGTTTGCCGCCCTTTTTATTATCGCTTTGTCAGAACCCAATGCGTTATGCCAATAAAGCCGACCATACGAGAATGTATTATTATTTGAAATTATACTGAATAATAGATAAAAATATTAGTTATAGGAATTATTTGAAGAAAAGAAAGAAGAAAAGATGAAATAGAAGAGAACAAAATATTGAGTTTACATTTTTGTCACCCTATTTTTGGTACGCTCATGTTCTCCCTAGGTTTAGGAACGCCCACATTTGGTTATTACCAGAATTAGAAATTTTTGTTATACTCAAAGGGTTAAGCGACTTTTCGAAACAATCAGTATTTTAATTGGGTAAATGAAGAAAATATTGAACTCAATGAATAATTGAAAATATTTTATTATTCGAGAATTTCTCTAGTATATGATATAATCGTAAATATACTTATATAATAGACGCTATTTGTGGATACATAGTAGGTACGTGATAATGGAAGTTTGGTAGTCTTGACTAGACTTAACTAGATTGGTCCTTCGAGGTAACGACATTGGAGTTGGAAAGGCATATAGGATATAGGAAAAGAAGAAACGATCGGGATTAGGGTCAGATTAGACCTTTTAAACGAACGACTTTTATGTAATTATCCTTTCTGTTACTAAAGGGCTTGCTTGATCTATACAAACTTTCTTTACCTTTCGTTCAAACAATCATTTTCTTTTACGACTAACGCACATTCTCATACATTAGAAGAACATTTTTCCTTTACTTCGTGAAATAAATCAATAAGAAAAACATTTATCTCAAAATTCATTCTCTTACATTATTTACACGATTTAATCTTAACAACTAGAATAGGAATAAGTTGACTCCAACATTGTTCGCATTAGAATTAAATATGATAATTGTTTTGTTATACGAATATTGAAATAAGAAATTGTTCATATGATGTAATACATTTTTAACATTTTTAATGATAAAATATTACTGTTTATTACCATTTGCGATCAATTTCTTAATATATATATATATATTTTTTTTTTTTTCTTTAGTTTTTCATAATAATCGATAAAGTAAATACGATTAATAATAATAACAAGATTAGAGAGAACTTTACGCATATGAAACTTGCATTATATAATTTGTTGTATTAAGTAAGCAATTTGCATATTAAAACTCGTAGTAGTAATCGAATATGTATATTGTATTCTTCTTCGATATATTATCTATCGATTATTTCTATAAATACTAGATGCTAAAAATTTATATAAATTTTTCGCATTATGAAAGTTTGAAAAATTTTAAAGGAGACTCTTCGTAAGAGCTTTGGACCCTTAATCATTTCAAACGACACTAAATTATTTTTCTTCTCTTACAAAAACTGATAACAGATAATACAAATGTCTTTCAACATTATTTAAATAAATATATTCTAAAGGGAAATAAACTATTCATTCACTCATACAAATGAAAAACAATTTTTAAGGCGTATAATAAAATGATAAAGAAAAAAAAAAATCACAATTATAATTCATTTAAATAGAATTGAATGTATAGAACATAGAATTACAATCAAAACAATATATATAACGAATCATAGTGCATATAAATATGTTTATATATAGGATATTCCAAATTAAAGCCGACAAACTTTTTTAATATGTTTGGAATTAATTTTGAATAGAAAATGTTATATAATATCATGAGTCGATTTGTCTTCATTTTCGAGATAAAACAGAAAAGTATTATAAACCACAAGTAATCAGCTCCATTAAAGGTAGTTAACCTTTAATGATAATCATTTATTTCAAACAATTTGTCTACATTGATTTACACAAGTTGTTCAAAATAATCATCTCTTGCCTGTTTGTGTGAACAAATAAGTGAGTACGTATTCACGAACCGTATCCGCTAAATATTAGCAAGATTATTATTGAAAGTAAACCACAATTATCCTATAATTTCTGCTATCAATTAATAACGTTCATTCGATGGTACGTAGAATTTTTTTCTATGAAATTACATCCTCGATTTCATTCCCATTCATTAAAAAAAAAAAAAAAAGAAAATAAGCTTTACCTTAAATACTTGTCAGTTATTTTTATTTATATCTCGAAAATAAAGACGAATAAAGTTTCACATGGTGAATGCGACAAAATATTTTGAACTCACAATTATCTCCCCAACATATTTGCAAAGTCCGTCGGTTTAGATCTGAAGTATCCTCTATGTAGAAATCGTGACGTTCACGATATTATGTCAAGTAAAATGGAGGAATATATTTCGTCGAGTTTGATCGATGTTGGATCGCGATGGGGTCGACTTATCGCGTCTGGCCACTACTCGGTATCTGGCATTTTTTTTCTCTCCCCTATTTTCTCTATCATTATTCATTGTCGCAACAACGTTATTACAACGTTGTTTTGTTGGTTAAAGACAGTAGTCAGAGTCACCGTTGTGTTGTTCGCGGTTATGGTCTTTCGAATCTTATTCGTTCGAGCGTGAAAGAAGCTACTGTGATTTCTTAATTCGATTCTCGATCCCTCGAAATTCGAATTGATCAAAAAGATAAACAAAAAATCGATGTATTTCTTTTTCTTTTGATTTTTTTTATTTAGTTCATTCGCTTCTTCAAAAAAAAAAAAAAAAAAAGGGGGATGGATAATCGAATGAAAAGCATAAAAGGGAAGAAGAACTCGATCGATCCTCTACGAAAGTATTCTCGTTGATATTTATTTTCAGCACACGGGGCCGTCAAACCGCATCCGAACATTTCTTTTATTTCTTTCATCGACACAACGTTGATCTTTTCTATCGAAAATGGCAAACGAGCAATCTCGGTTATAGTCGACAAAACGATACAATATACACGGATGTGTCGTTGAATTTTTTTCGAAAATTCTTCAGACAAAAGCTTAAAGATAAAAAGAGAGGAGTGTAAGAGAGAGAGAATAAGCTTATCCGATCATCGTCCACATTGTCAACGGAGAGTGACTTCGTATAAGGGTGGTTAAAGAACTCTCTTCCCTTTTCTCCCGTTTTTTTTTTCTCTTTTGTAAAAACTCGCTTTCAAAGACTCTTGATCAGTGAGCAGACACGCGTTACTCCGTAATCGTGCAGAAAAAACAAGGGGAGACTATGTTGAAACTTGAATAACCGCGATCCAGGTGAACCCTCGACTTATTATTTCCTCGATTCAATGACATCGTTTCTTAAATCAATCTTTTAATAACGAAACATACTTAATGAGAAATTTTATATATTCTAAGAAAAAAAAAAAAAAAATCACAAAAATTAGAAACAACAAGTTTTCTACAAATATTCTTTTCTTTTTTTAGTGTTTTATAATCTTTAAAGAAATTTCAACATTGATAAAAATTAAAAAAAATTCAAACTTTTATATTTTTTTATCCCCGTTCAATATATCGATGCCCAAAATTTCAAACATATGTTCAAATTGTTTGTAAGAAACAACTTGGAAATTTTTCAGCACACATACACATACACACACATACAATTATATCATACAATGAGATATCGGAACACTGACTTTTTCGTTCTATGAAAAATCAGGTACGAATTGAATACGACTCTCTTAAATAGTCTCCTAAACTCTTTAAACAATGGAAAACAATCAATTTAAAAAGCTAAATAATCTTTCCTTTTCTTCTTTGTTTTTCTTTTTTTTATATTGACTACCGTTTTTTTATTCTTAATTTGTAAGATTTAAACATCTTTTTCATCGTATAAATATTATACTTAGAATGCACGTGCACGCTCGTACACAACGAGATGCATTTTCGAGCATAATGAAAACGGTCTTTAATAAGTAACTTAGAGAGAGAGAGAGAGAGATAGAGAGAGAGAGAGAGAGAGAGAGAGAAAGAAATAAAGAGATAGAGAGAAAGAGAGACAGAAAGATAGAGAATAGTATTCCAAGAACATATTCAACGTCGTCTAAGTCTTAAGATGATGTTAGGAAGCCGATGGAGCATCGTCAATTTGGCTGACACGTTATTAACGCTGAACAACGATGCCATTCGGTTTTACGCGTTACACTGTGCTACGATAACTTGCTCTTAAAGTTTTCGATTCGAAAATTCAAACGACACGACAAAATACTCTCTTCCAGGATCATTTTTAACAATCATCATTGAACCTTGAACTCTTGAACATATCCTCATAATTCATCATTTTTCTTACGTTGTCATAAAATATAAACAACGTTCATTTATCTCCAATGTTCTTCCTAATTCAGAAACAACTTCACAGAATACAAAGAAAGAGAGAGAGAGAGAGAGAGAGAGACAATATCACGTTAAGGTTTGTTCAAAGAGTAAAAAAATATATTTCATTCGGTGAAACTCTCGTCAAGGTCATAATCGTCATCCTCGATGGATCTCGATCATCCCGGTGGTGTCTTTTTCTGCTTGCAAAGTTCCAGGAGTACAGGATAATGCAGATCGGCTGAATATTCCTGGCTCTGATCCAAAAGTTCCAGATGTCTCGACCAGACTTCGCTGTCGTATCGTTCAGTTTGCCTGGCTATGAAACCACGTTTGATCGCAGCTTCGGCGAATTTCTGAAACGTCGTTCCACGTCTAGGTGCTATCACCAAAGCCACACCGTCGTCAGCAAGCCAACCATAAATCGTTTCGACTAGGTCAAGCCTGGCATCGTCGAAGAAGAGACAATCTGCGCACAGGATCACCTCGTACAATCCTTTCTTGCTTGGTAAGCCATCATCCTCCTCGCCAATGATGCGTGTCATCTGATGAAATTCGATAAAAAAAAAAAAGAAAAAAAAAATATAACAAAATTTCGAAAAATTCTTATACACCAGATAAACGTTATTGGTCGATATTTGGTATTTACGATCAAACGAAGTGGAAAAAAAAGGTGATAATTATTTTTAAAAACGTTTGAGAGATTATGCTTGCATGTATTCAGAACGATTCAATAAAAAAGTTAGAGCTTTTCGATCTAATCTCTATGTGTACATACGTAATATTGACGAAACATTTATGAGCGAACTGGGTAAACGTTAACTTGTATATATCCGAAACTTGATACCCTAGTGGAATCAGACTGAATGGTAAACTTTGAGATTTCTCCGAGGAAATTTTCAAGGTAAAAAGAAATAAATAAACAGAAAAATAATATTTTATATATTCATGTTGAAAATGAAATATTTGAAATTGTAAATGAAATTTATTAATTGTTTTATTTGAAAATAAGGTCTCGATCTGCAATTTTATTCAAAAATATATTCTGTTTGTTTTTTTGTTTTTTTTTTTTAAATAAAAAATACAAATACAAATTGGAAATAGCAGACGTAGAAAAAAGAACAACCACCGGTTTGCCAAATTGAGAGACAATACTCGACCGTTGTAACGAATATGTTACTTGAAAAAATAGAAAAGAAAAAAGGACATTAAAACATTAAGTAGAAGCGGAAATACGAGGGGAGAGAGAGAGAGAGAGAGAGAAAAAAAAAGAAAAGAGAGAGAAAGAAAGAGCTCGATACGATATACACAGGAAGTCGAGCTAAAGTCTAGCCGGAAACGTTCGAATGGTGCATCATCCACATAGCTATTCGCGCGTTCCGTTTGGTCTGTAATAGAGAAAACTACCCGGAAGTTCTGCACAAGATTTACTACCCACGAATGGACCGAACTTATAAAAGCTTACTAAATTATCGATTCGCATAATAGAACAAACGATATTCGATTTGTTCGTTAATGAAATGACATTAGTATTAATTCAAATTTGAAATATCTTTCCACGACATTGAATTAATCATATTATTAAATAAAATATGTAACCTACCAACGGAAACTTTACAAATTATATAAATACAAATATAAAATGTTTCTGAGCGCGTTGATTAGCTTGATTTTAAATACACATTAAATGTAATTTAATTATCAATTTTGTCACAGAGAATAAATACGTCGTATTTATACAAATATTATATTTTACTGATGTTTGTAAATAGGAAAAAACTCTATACGTTTTTCATTGTGATACTTGCGCGTATTTTCATTTTTATTCGACAATTTATTCGTTTTGTTCCTCAGAAGTCTTTGTTATTTTTTTTTTTTTTTTTTTTCATCGAACAAGGCACGATGTTCGAAGTGATTCATCGAACGTGACGCGAAATGCATTACGTCGGGTCTCGTACGAAATTGGTATGCGCGTTGTCGAAGACAAGGGTGCACTTGACATTGTCGATGCCGATCACGTTAACATCGGTCAGAATGGCACACGACGAATCGCGTTATTCGGCCACGAGAGCATCGACCATGCGTTTCGAAATTTGTATGCTCTTTAACACCACGATTCGTGTTGGAACGATTATCGTAGGATGTTCGATTAAAAGTCAACCAAAAATATTAATTAAAAAAAAAAATAAATAAAAAGCATAAAGAAAAAGAATTCACGCGTAGGATGAAAAGGTTAAAAAAATGTTTCTTAAAAAATTACATAAAACAAAAAAAAAACAAGAAAAACAGATGAACAAAATATTGTTTACAAATAATATCAATAAATGGATGGAAAAGCATGAAAATTGAGAAAATAAAAAAACGAATATAAGTACATCGTGTTACCGATACGATGTCGAGATCAATTTTACGATCGACATTTACGATCGATCGAAATCAATATAATCGTTCTTTATATAGTAAAAAAAAAAAAAATTGATTCAATCAAGATCAATAAAGCCGAAGTATGATAGATCGTTTTAAAATTTCAGGTAGCTTGATCGAAATATCCTTCAGGAAATGCATACTACCCTTTCGAGAGAAGATAATCACCTTTCGATTGCAATTTTTCGCAGCAGCTTGCCTAAGGGCTCGTGCAGCCCTAGCCCATTGTAGAACTCCACACTCGACGAAATCGGCCATGTCGTTTCTAAGGACGATACAACGAACGTTATCGACGCTGGTAACGTTGCCGTCGGTGAGCGTGACCGCACTCGGATTGCAGTATTTCGCAACGAGGACACCAGCAAGACAACTCATACCACCACCAAGTTCGAGAACGCTTCTGTTTCGGCAAATAGCACGATTCTTTAGCAAATAATAAGCTAAACACTCCTCGGAAGGCCAGACGCAAACATTTCCGGTGTTATTGAATCCAATGAGTTCGTTAGCAGTAAAATTCTTGTTTATTCTTCGTATCTGAACTTCAAAGAGTTCGTTCTCCAACATGGCGGAATACTCGTACCAACAAGAGTCAGAATCGGTTATAGTATTTTCCAAGAGAATCGGTTTAAGTAACCCAAAACTTGTGAAACGTCGTACGGAAATCTCCTCGTCTGATTCTGCTTGATAATCCGAAGAGCCTGTTAAAGCTTTTGCTAAGATACGCCATCTTCTTTGAGCCGTATTTGACTTGTTATTCCTTCTGGTGATTGTAGATTCTCGACAAGATAATAATTCTTCCGACATTATGTTACTACGTTGACTTATAAAAAGGATTACTAAAGACTATTTTTTTGTTTTTGTAAAGATTCGACATCAAAGCTCTCCCCTAATCAACTTTTTTAAATTATATACCAAGATATCCAATTTAATAGTTTAGTAATTAAAGTTTTTTCTTCGATAGAATGAGGAGGAGAACAGGCACTTCGGTAACAAAATCATTTTAAATTCAGATTAAAGATAATGATATTTTTGTTTTATAAATGAGAGTTGATTCTTTTTTCAGGCACGAGTAGCACGCGTTCTTGATGCACGAGGGTGAATTTCCCGCGTGAACGAGAAGTAAGGGTGGTGGTTAGAGGGCTGATCGTAGCAAGTAAGCAGACGGGCAAGGACGAGGATGGACGAAGGGACGGGGCAAGACTAAAAGCACGAAGCCAAGTTCTAACTCGCGCCACGCGGATGGCAAGCGTTCTCCACGCCGCAAAATCGGCGCTTGCGCGTCACTACGAACTTCTATCTAGCTCCCACTTACCATCACTGGTATATTCTGTCTCTTTTCCGTTACCACGACCCTATTATTCGCTATCTTTTTCTTTCTAACTTCTCTTCGTGAGCTGAAACTGTCACTTTGTTTCTCGTTTCACACTTCTCCTTTTTTGTCTCTTTTTCTCATTTTCTTTCCTTCTTTCTTTCTTTCTTTCTTTCTTTCTCTCTCTCTCTCTCCCTCTCCCACTGTAGATTTTCTTCCTTCTTTCTTTTTCCTTTAATTTATGCCAAAATCCGCACACCTATAGAAATTCCTGATTCCTCTCATTAAAATGTGAAATAATTGCTTATTAAAAGTTTGATAAACTCGTGAGTAATTCCTTCTATTATTTCGACTGTTAATGTCCTAACCGACGAATAATTAATTATTCGTTAGTAGTTTGAACAAACTAATTTCTTCTTTTCCTCTTTTATCGTCCTTTTCCTTTGTAATCGAAAATTTCGACAAAAATGTTTTGCGTATAGCGTGAAGTTTCGTAAATTAGACTGATCGATAACTCGCATCAACTTTGTTATCCTTTCTTAAGGATACATATATAATATATTTAATATTTATGTATACTTATATATATATATACATATGTGTCGTTGTAGGAACTCGTTGATGTATGGTTACTTCTAGTTCAATGAGGCGGACATATTTAGAGAAATCTCGTAGTAGGAAAGTAAAGTTGAAAGCAGAAGAATTATACGCGTGTAGTGAAAAATATTTTTCGAAGGAAAATCTTTTGATGTCTCTGTTAAATTCAAACAGATTTTCTAATGTAAGTTCTGAAAAAAAATAATCCCATATATATATCGCATTCCCTTTGAGCACATTCCGTCGAATTTGTTTAAGAAGAAGAAAAAAAAAAAAGAATTTGATTAATAAAAGCATAAGTAAAATTAAAATACAGAATATAATTAACCGTTTGAATTCCAAGCAACTCGATCACGCTTTTCAGATTTAGTGTCGAAAAATCAAAGTACATTCACGCTGCTTGGGATTTTTTGCATTTAATTAAAAGATAAACGCTATGGTGATGTTCGGCTTTTTCGATCGTTTTCATTTAAAAGCTTCTGAGACTCAAACGATTAAAAAAATAAATAAATAAAAATAAAAATCAATTTTCTTGTTATTTTTTTTTTTCCGACAGTAGGTGTCAAAAGTTCTAGCATGCTTTTGGAAAAGAGCAAAGAGTAATATCGTTCGTTTACCAATGTCTCTAACAGTCGTGTCACGCGTCTGCTTTTACCACTGGCACTGAAAATCTAAGCCGTAGTTCGAATATCGTGCCAGCCGTGTTCGTGGACATTAAACTGTCGCCGAAGCGACGTTTAAATCTTGGCCAAAGTCTTCGATAAAACGTGCCGGCGACCTGAAATTAATACGTTGCCTCGAACTAACTTCTCCACAAGAGAAAGAGAGAGAAAAGTACGCGTCTAATAATTAGTCGAATTCAAAAGGATTTCAAATGCTCTTATAACCTTTATATATAACTTATTCTAATTCCACATATATATGTTTATATATATATTTTTTTTTAAACTTTATTTACTTTTTATATCTTACGAAATTCATAAATTATGTATTAATATACGTAAATTAATGTTTTAAATCCATAAATATTTATAACGCGAAATCAAAAAATAGGGTTGAAGATAAATTATTATTATTATTATTATTTTTATTTGTCAGATTTATACGTTAGAATTTTCTTTTTTTTTTATCCATACAGTATACTTGCATGACGTATGAAAGACGAGGAATAAAATAGAACTCCATTATGAATTCATTCGCTATCTTATTATGATTGTGACGATGATGATTATTATTGTTATTATTATTGTTATTATTCTTATTATTATTATGCTTTCTACCCTTGTTTATCATATAACGTAACACATTCTACATTTAGTTGTCATTGTCAAATAAGAAAAAGTGTGAAATTTTTAATCAAAAAATGTACTATTTCGTGGGACGCATAATAAAGCAAACCATGACAGAATTTCTTTTTATTCAGAAGCTTATACCTACTCTCATCGGAAACTGTATTACGCTAATCGATAATCTCATCTTCTACTTCTTCATCTTCCATTTTTGTCCCTTCGTTCATTCCCCAGAAACGATGAATCGTACTTTGTGCTGCTCCTCCCACCCCCATTAATTGAATTTTTTTTTTCAACGTTCGATACTCACTTTTCTATCTATTTTTCATACAAAATCTATCTTTATTATATGTATATATATACTATATAGATATATATGATATGTAGAAATTAATTTGATGCTTCGAATAAATTTGTTTTAAATTATGCATTAATTTCTACATTTATATAGACGTATTTTTTTTTTTATTTTTCATAATGTCATTTGTAATTCTTTCTTTATTTTATATATCTACCTATATCATATTTTATATATCATATAAAAATATTGTTAAGTCGATATAAAATTTCATATTTATAGTATTCACGTATCGTAACGTTTACGTTAATTCAATTTCCTCTTTTCATGTGCATACATTTGCGTAGGACGTAATATTACGTATATACGTTCGATAGCTTTCTCTATATTTCTCACCACAAATCCATAGTTCTACGATGCTTTTCACGTTGTATTTACGCTGTAAATGATTCCAATTAAAGCTCAAATGTTTAGAAGTGATAGATAGATCAATAGAGAAAAATATATATACAAAGCTTCATCGTAAAGGATTATTTATAGACATTAATATGAAATTCGTGTAGAATTAACGTTATTTGATAAAATAATTTTTCCAATTTAATCACTGATTGATCGTTAAACGTTATAAAGGAAAGAAATATGATGATAAAACGAGGTAAAACCTATCGGCAGGCTCGAAAATCGTCGTTCATCTCATTCGAGGCAAAGTAACTGACGATTAATCGCTACGTGATCGGAAAATGTAGAGAGCAACGAGCAAATACTGATGACGAAGCAGAATGTGCATTTACGCGTAGCCGAGAAACGCTGGCTGGGGTGGTTCCATGTTTAATCAGAGAATGTAGAGAGAAACACATTTCAATGGAATCAAAACTATTCGCAAAATTACAACGACGATGTTATCGGAAACTCAGTGAATTTGTTTAAAATTCTTATTTGTCGTTCTATAAAAATTGAGAATAATTTTTTTTATATTATATTTGCTCAAGTTTATATATTCGAAATTACGAATATGTAAATATTGGCTTGAATTCATAAATAAGTATTATTATTATTAAAAGAGAAGAGAATAAATTATTATATAAAATTTAATTATAATTCATTAAAATAATAACACTTATTATTTATAGATATTATAACATTTGCATAGCTTTTTTTTTCTCTTCTCTTTTTCCGACAGTTTATTCTCCTTGAAACCTAGAAACGAACAATTATTTGCACTGATACGTATTGAGATGCACACGTAAGACTGACAATGCAAATTGATAACCGAGTTCCATTACGGTTACGAACGTATAAGATAAGACTGGTCAAGAAACTAGTGCAATGAAATCCAATTTTCTTCGAATGCGTATCTTTTGATAATTACACAACTTTTGCATTTCTACGACGTAAGCATGTAAGCTTTCGTGTCTCCTAAATTCAATTAAATACAAATTATAACTTGAATTTTAAACGGTTCATTAAACAGGAACATAAATCCTAGTGAGATTATTTCTTTATTATATTTGTTTCTATAACAATATGTATTTTTAATTCGTTAAATTTTTATTATCATTTCAGTGTTTCCTTTATACTTAAATGTAATTACGTTTAAAATGAAACAAAGAACTGAATAGAAGATGACATGTTTGTTAAAAAAAAAAAAAAAAAGATCCAAGAAAATTAAAGAACGTTGGGAAGAAAAATGTGAGACGTGCTTTTATTATACCATACTTACTGCAGAAACTTCTGCAGTTTCATTATAGTATAGCAAGTGTTGGATTTCTAGTTCCATTAACGATTTATCGACTGACAGATGCGTCAAAATATCACCGACCCTCTTCTATTCCTACTTGACCCACGTCGAGGCTTATGTCATATTTACACATCTCCCGAATGAAATTCTAATCGTTTTCCCATCAAATGAGATAAGATCATACGACATCGCCTAAATTGGTACTTCATGATATTTCATTAACAATAAGACTAATAAATAAAAAATTTAATTTATAAAAAACAACTGGAAGTTACTGTATGATATAAAATAAATTTATATTTATCATCGTATTCGTTTCAATCGTTCTATGTGCAAGTAATAAAATAAGCAAACAACAAATTTGTAGAAATTGATATTGTATGATTTATATTATGATTTATATTATGATCACATTTATATTATAGAATCAATCATAAAATCAAATTTATTCAAATTTTTTTGTTTAGATATAAATGTTCCCTATGTATTTCTCATTATATTCAAATGTAGAATAAACAAATCTGTATTCATTGATACTGGAAAAAAACATTATAAAGAAAAAAGAAGAGAATTAAAGTGAATTAAAGTGACACGATGTTAAAGTGACACTTATGCAAGCTGCGATTGATTTGTGAGTCTCTACATATATCTCTTAGTAAGTGTGTGTCTTTTTCGTATTATTTGACACGAATAGAATTTAGTGTCAGTAATACACACCCAGTTTCATTCAGTCGTGAAACCAATGGGTTATGCTCGGTCACGACAAATATAGTCCTCGTTAGAACATAATAGAACCTATATTTATTTATACTATCTCGATAAAAGTTACGTGCATTTCAATATATCCTTTTTATTATATAGTTTTATATACTATGTATATGTAATTATAGTTAATCAACAAAATTGTTGAAGTCAGATTAAAATCATTGAAATTTCTCAATAATGTGTATTAATTCTTTTGTGTAAAAATATTAAATAATTTCACACAGATTTTTATCAAATCAAATGATTTATTTTATTTTTCAATTGGAATCATTTAAATTAGTCATTATGTATTTATACATATATCGGTTATACATGAATGAGTCAAAATGAAAATGTTTATAATTTTATATGTGTATACTTTTTCGTATACTTCTGTTAAAACGGCTTGCATTTCGTCAGCATCTTCAAAATACAGTGGAGCGTATATACATCGTTCTCGTCTCGATGCTTCATTTTCTAGGGAACGAACAGTCGGTCGTTTAAAACGTGGAATAACAAGTTCGAAATATTCAACTCGTACAACGGGTCTTTCCTTGTGAAGAAGATGTAAACATTTCTCCACTGACGTTCCACGTCTTCGAACATGTTCGCTGGACCAAAGAATCGTTTCCCATCGAGTATTTGCTACCGTCATTTCTTCTTCTCTTTTCTTTTCCGATATTCGTAGTTAGCTTCCGAAATAGCGACAACGTTCTGCTAGGTCGCATTAAATATCTGCATCTGTAGTATATATCTTTTGACATATTTAAATATACCATATAGCAAATTGAACGTTTAGAATTCATTCATTCATTAGTCAATATATTTTTTAATCGACTGTTCTTAAATTGTCATATTAGTGATAATATTTGTACGAAAATATCTTGTAAATTATATTTATTTGTAATATTTGTAAATCATTTAAAATCATAATTCATACAAATATTTCTTCATTTTAATTTAGATTTATTTTTACATGTTAATGTCCAATTTTTCACTACATCGTTTATATTTATACATGATAAAAAGTCAAACATTTTAAATAAAATAATTAATTTATTTTTGTAATTATCTTTCCTTTCATTTGTAAGAATATATTTTATTTTTACAATGTATATTTACTTTTACTGCAAGTCAATATTTTTTATTATTCTTTTGTGTATTTTCTTGAAAAGTAATGGGTATGAGTACTCGTTGACATAAGGTCGCTTGAAATGTAATTTCTATCTTTTATCAAAGAAAATTCAAAGAACAAATTTTTCTTTTAAAGTCATTTTAAAATGGACTGTATAATCTGATCAATTAAAAATCGATCATTTCTTGATGAAACTTGACAATTTTCCTATATATTTAAGCGAAGCATTCCTAAAATTGTATCAAAGTGATAAAGACCAAGAAAGCATTGTGTCAAGAGAACCTTGAAAGTGTTGGCACCGGACTGCGTTAAGTGATTGCGTTGAAGGTATTCTCGCCAAAGTCTTTGCCACCAAAGAAACTTTGCATAATCAGAAAACAAAAGTGGTTTTTTTTCTTTTCTTTGCAAATTCAGGATTGTTTTTTACAAATATATATATCCAAATGATAAATTCGATGAATCGTTCGTACGTTTAACAAATAAAAACATTACAGTTAAAAATATTTGAAGTTCTTTTAGAAAAAATAAATTATATTATTGTTAATAATCATTTATTTCGTTTTATTTTGATCTAGACCAGATAACATCATTGGCCATTAACAAATATGTATAAAATTAGAGACAAAAAAATAAAAAAAAGGAAAAAAAAGCTACATGATGAGAGGGTTCAATTCGTGACGTAACCACTATGCCAAAAGCAGCAGTGCGGTTCGCGTCAGTCAAAAAGGCCGCATTTCTCTCCGCATCCATGAGACTGAGTCAGCAAAAGCAGTTCTTTGAACAGTCCAAACGAAGAGTCAGTATCTCTCTCACCGAGATAAATAGAAAATGATAGAAAGAAAAAGAGAAAAACTAGTAGAGACAAAGAAATATAAAGAAGAAAAGAAAAGAATTGTCATCTTTCTTTCTTTCTTTCTTTCATTTTTTTCTCTCTCTCTATCTACTTATCTATATATTTATCTATCTACCTATCTATCTATCTATCTGTCTGTCTCTGTCTTTCTCACAACACGACGATACGATACTGCGGTCTTTCTGGCAAAGCGTCCCGACGCATTGCGTCTAAGTCCTCGCATGAAACTGGCCAAACCTTAAAACCATGACGTTGTTCGTGAAGACGTAGACAGCAAATACGAAGTAAAGGCTCCTTTTAGCACTTGGCCAATACACATCTGTAGTTACTTTTGGTAAGTGAAAATTCTCGCATATATACATACATATACACACGAATACACGTACGAATGGATAACGCAAACTCTACGTGGAACGAATAGAAAATATGAAAGAGAAATATTGAAAAGTGTTTGCCAATAATTCGTAAATGTCGATGTGGTCAGATTTGTTCAGATGCGGACAAAAAATGTAAAATTAAAATATCTTTTTTTATTATTAATGTTTTTAACATTAATATGTTTTCCATAAATTAAAAAACAAAAAAATATCCAACAACAACCAAGTATAATGTGTAAGCTTTTATAAAAAAGAAAAAAGAAAGGATTAGCGTATACACAATCACTGAAACGCACCCATTTCGCATCCAGGAAACGGATTAAAGTAGGATTATAGATGAATTCGATCCTGCTCGCGAAATCGAAGCAGGGATTAAAATGCGAATGAAAAAATACGAGAAGAAATTTAACCAGCGTGTAATAAATTTTTTAATTGATTTTGTTTATCTGAATTTTTTGGCATTGGTTTTATCGTTACGATGTTTAAATTCGATTTTTTAATCGTTAAAAGCCAAAACCCAGTCTGAATTTAAAATACATCCTTTCTTAAATAGAGAAGAATTATTATGTAAAAAAAAATTGGTTATATCATTTATGTAAACATTCCATCCTGATGGAGAACAGCTTTTTTCTCTCAACAAAAATGCTTTTCATTTTTCATCGCAGCAAATGAAACATTAAAAATTAATTAATGAAACACGGTCGAGCTCGTAAAATATTTTTTCATTTTTCTTTTTCAATATACATGCATTTAATTTTTACTTTGTTTTGTATGCGTTTCTTTTCCAAAACACTGTTCGTATTAATCTATTTTTTTTTTTTAATATCACAGATTATACATATAAATATCATTGATTTAAATAACAACATTTAAATGATTACATTAAACATGTTAATATCATATATTTTAATTGATAGATTATTTTTTATTATTGGTATTTGGAAAATAATTGTAAAATAAATGTAAAATGTGGTTGAACAATGATAGGACGAATGGAACAGTGCTATCCAGGTTACGAAGTTGTCAAGGAATAACAGTTTACCCTACGGGGGAAATTAATCGGCACGACTGGATCCCGAAATTCAGAACAGGCTGATCGATGAGTGGACTCGAGACAAAGAGTCTTGTTAACAAGAGATACTAGCGTCTCGAACGAACCGGAACGTGAATTGCTGTGAATGATGACTGACATATATGTGTGTTAGTGAATGAACAACGTTTTCGAGAATATAAACGACAAAATCCATTTCTTGAACGTTGCTAACGAATCTAGTTTACTTTTCAAACGAGTTACAAAAAGTTCGGTAATTAATAAAACAAAAAATGTGAAAGAAACAAATCGCCAGGTTTCTATTCAAAACAAAAATGTTCAAAAATAAAACAGAGTAAGAAAAATGAATAAAAATTTAGAAAATATATACAATTAATATTATTTCTTTTTTTATAAGTATTAAATATATGTGATACTCTTATCAGAAGCCTAAGTTATTATATTTAAAAGTTATTTTTTGTTGATCATTGTTTGTTGTTACATTGATTAATGTTCTATGCGAACATTAAGAGTGAACGATCTGACTGATGACTAACCCAGTTTTAATAAAAAGCTATCATGATGAAATTAATTAATAAGTACTTTTCAGAGTAATGGTTTTACTAGGACACGTTTGTAATGTATTAATCAAATGTAATAATAACATGATATTTCGAATTAACACATTTCATCGATTCGCTGCATTTCAAATATAAAAACACGCATATAAATTTTACTGAAATGTTATAATTTTATACAATTCATATGTTGCATTATCACTGTCTACCAGTAACTCCACATTCTTACTGATATCTATGTGTAATAGTAATATTCGATTTCTGTCAAGTATATAAAGCTATTAATACCTAAATAATAAATTATTTGTTACTAAATTTATAAAAAATATTTCAATAGAGTTGCATATAAACATATTATATTAATAATTATTAAAACTAATTGTTAGTTGAAATGTAATAAAAAAAAAAAATTAATAAGCGATCAATATATTCTTAATAATATGGAAGGTTAACAGACTTACATGTTTCGTTGTTAATTAGTAAACTTAATCGTTGATTAAGGTTGACCGTCTTACATGGGTTCTTCAATAATACTTGAGAAAAAATACGTAACTTATTTATTATTACTAGTAACTTTAACCTCAAACTTATTCAGTGATAGTCAAAATTAACGAAACCACTTTAACTATATCGATGCATTAATTAAATATAATCAACTAACAATATAAAAGATCGTTAAAAACTTCTGTCCACATAACAAATTAATTGTTTGTGTTCCTTTTTTATAAATACAATTTCATCATATGTATAAACACAATTTTAATATAACGCGTGTCACGGTATACACTTTACGATCAGCTGATTTCTATTGAGCGAGAGTAGAGACATCTCTTAGTCATTTAAGAAAATTTATCATTACTTTTTATCTTCAGAGCAACATGAATTTAGAAACAATATTTAGTTCTATTTCGTGCTATTATTTTCAATATTAGTAACTATTTATATTTGCTGATATTGTTGTCAAAAAATTGAGAAATTGTAAAATGATTTTTCTACATAGATTTGTGAACAGATAGATTTATATTTTTTACATTCGAGATTAGATTTTAAATATTATATAAAAGATTGATTAGATAAGAGCTTATCTGGACAAGTATATACGTCATTATCTAACTTTTCATTTGAATTAATAAATCTTCGAAAATTAAATGAAAGATAATCTTAAATTGAATTTTAAAATTGTTTTATTTACAATTTTGTAAATATATATGCGCAACAGTTACAAAAATTTGTTGTTTTTTTAAAAACGTGTTTACTTTTATATATTAGTTTGTATACAGAATAATCGTCATTTTATTTGTTTCTTAAGTATTTTTATGCTGTCGCTCTAGTTCGCGATAAGATTTTTGTTGTTGGCAACAGATGTTTCATTTCCAATATGGCTGCTTCTGTGTATTAATGCAGTTATTATGATTTTTTACGTACCAAAGAATAATTATCATTTTTTTAGACCGATTACAATTAAAAAATGTACATTACAATATCTTTGCTATCAATTAAGATGTTTTATTGAACATCTATTTTAGGAAAAAATGAACAAAATGTTTTTGAGACAGTGGTACGATATTAAGAATTGAATAACCTTTCAGCAAGATATATAATCTTATTTGATACTACTTCCGTGACGTAAAAAGACTAACCAGTACTGTGATTATGAGTAAATTAAGGATAGGATCAGATTATATTCCTCTAACCGAAGAAGACATGTTGAAAGTACGAGCAATTATTTCTTTTCCGAGATTAGCTTGGGTCACTGTATCCTTGCCACTGTTTGCTTTTATTTTCTGTGTTATTTGGTCTGTTCTTTATAATTTTGAACATGCCACTGCCACACATTGCAAGGTAATTAAATTTATTTAAGGAAAGAAAACATTAATAGAATATTCGTTCAAAATTTGAAAATTCTGAGTTAATGTTATTACTTTAAGATATATTCTTTATTTGTTTAGAAATATGAAGTCAATTGGAATAATATATATTTATGATTAAAATTTACATGTTTTCATTTATATAGGTTTATAATTTCCTTCCATCCGTCTCTGCAACTATTGGTCATTACAGACCTCAAAAAGATGTTTGGAAAATGGCAATCGCTATGCAAGCTGTAACTAGAACATTAGTTTTAATCATGTACTTCCGTTATTATAAAGAACATGTATATAAGTGGGCACGGTATATCAGTAATATTGCTTTAGTCACATATATCATTGAAAATGTATCTCTAGTGACTTTAAGCTTCTGGACTTCGGACTCGAACTATGGTATATATTAGGATATAAGTATACATTTATTTGTATTTGTGTAGGATAATAGTAATAATTGTTAATTTTTTTCAGCATTTCATAAATTATCTTTTATAACATTCTTGTTGATGTCTTCTATTCACATGCCATTATCATACTTCGTTATGAAGAATTGTTGTAATGTAACAAGAGATTTTTATGAGACTGCATCTATAAGATGGAAATGGAGAGCGATGATGTCAAATGTATTCTCCATATTATTAGCATGTTATTTTTTTTATAGGCATAATAAATATTGCGAACCATTTGGTGAGTAGAAGAATTATAAAATAATAAATTTTGCAATATCATATTTAGTAGTTAGTATACTTTGAATTTTAAACGTAAAAGGGGAAAATTACTAATAATTTTCTATAATTTCAGTATATTCCATGTTCGCTATGAGTGAATACGGTGTTATTCTTTCAAATATGATGTTTCATTCGACAGCTGCATGGGATTTTCCAACGTCTCGAGTTTTGGTATCAGGGAATGGTATTAGACTGATTTAAATTATCATAGATCATTTTACAATATACATATATAATTACTATCTAGATATTTGAAATATTTTCTTTAATATGATATTCATATATTTTAATTCAATATGTACCTGGTAATGGTTAATATTTTTATTGTATTAGCCATGATATCAGTTATTCGAATCAATCAAAATGATAAATATTTAGAGAAAGTATATATTATATGTGTGATATCAAAATATACTGATTTATTACAAATTTTTAGAAACGAAATATTTATATAAATATATATGTATATGTATATATACAAGAAAATAGAATGTAGATAGGTATTTATCATCAATTGCTGTTATACAAAAATTTTAATAGAAGAATATAAAAATATTAATCCCTTTTTATTTCTTTTCAATAAAAAGGGTTTCATAAACGAATACGATGTAATATGTGGTATATGTACCAAATACAAACATCAGATACACAGAAACAACATAGTAAATTATATTATAAACTTATGATATATTTTTTGGACAGTGACAGTTTCTATTATGAACTGTATAATAGCTGTGTACAAAAGAATGGAATTTCCTCCCAATGCTAGGCGACTTTATCACATTCTTCAATCATATTGAAAAATATTAAAACTTGAAATCATTTTGAAGTTTATCGGCAATGTACTTTGCTATAGCCATGCTACTCGTTGCAGCAGGTGAAGGAGCATTACGACAGTGAAGAACTCTGCATCCAATATTACCAGTTCCATTATCAAAAACAAAATCATCTACTAGTCTGCCATCACTGTCCAATGCTTGTGCTCTGACACCAGCAGGCCCTCTGAAACAATGAATTTATTCAAAATATTAGAAAATTTGAAATTGATAGCATGAGATACAAGATACATATACACAATCATATATACCTTTTTATATCTTTATATGTAATATCTGGTATAAATTTCTGAAGATCCTTTATTGCTAATGGATAGAATATCGATTTAATAATTTCAGTAACTCCAGGTATAAAGTACCTGAAGGACAACTTATATAATCCAGGAAACTTAGCCATTTCTATACAATCTTTTATGTTAATATCGGTCCATCTAAATGCACAAAATTACAGGATTCTTATGAGTAACTTTTACTCTTATGTTTTTTTTTTTTTTGATAAACTGTTTTGCTAATTCTTACTTGTAACCTTCTCTAGCTAAGGCCAAAATAGCATTCGGACCGAGCCAAATTTCACCATTTATTCTAGGGGTAAAGTGAACACCCAAGAACGGTAGTTTTGTATTAGGCACTGGATATATGTTCGTTGTACATAAATGCTTTTTATTTTCATTCAGAAGAAGATATTCGCCTCGGAAAGGAACTATTCGTGGACTGCGGTCGCATCCTGTCATAACGGCTAAACGATCCGAATGTAAACCAGCACATGTTAATACGTATTTCGCTGAAATACACTGGAATAAGTTATAGAATGGTTATTGATAAAAATTCGCAAAACTTTCGTTAGATTAAAGGAGAAATAAATTTACCTTATCTTTAGATTGAACGACTATAGGTGCCAATTGTCCACCAGTTTGTGATTCTATCATTTCTGCAAATCCAGTAACTTCGTAATTAAGAAATATTTCACCGCCCATTTTTTGAAAATCCGCAGCGAAGTGTTTACAAACTAAAGCCCAATCCACGATTCCTGTCCATGGCGACCAAATGGCTTTTTCACCCTAAAAATAATTCTGTTTTATTTGTTTATATCTCGTTACGAATCTTGACTTAACAAATACTCCATTTTTTTATTAATATTCTAGCATATAATATTTACTAATTATACTATAGTAATATTTTAATATAATAATATTGTAGTAAAAATATATGGTATATAAGTAATAGTTTCTTTACCTTACATTTTGGTTCGTAATTTGTAATACAGTCCTTATCAACTAATTGAAGATCAGGTACGTTATTCTTCATTCCTCGTTCAAACAGGTTGTTTAACACTTTAACTTGTTGCTGATTCTGAGCTACTATTAATTTGCCAACCTTTTTATGAGGTATATCATTCTTGCAAAAATATTCATAGGATAGTTTTAAACCCTCGACGCACAGTTTCGCCTGTAATCATTGGCTACCGGATCAAACATTTCTTAAGGGAGTGTTGCTCAATCGTTTGAAATCGATCGAGATTAAAATTGTTTATACTTAAAAACGGACTAGATTTTTTCAAAATTGTCATAAATTTTATATTTCTTCCAAAAATTGTAATTTTCTTTATTATTATTACCTTTATACTACCAGGCATATAGTAAATGCCAGCGTGAACGACACCACTATTGTGGCCTGTTTGGTGTTTCGCAAGGGTATTTTCTTTTTCTACAATGGCTATTTTTAAGTTAGGATGTCTCATTAACATTTCACGTGCTGTGGCACATCCTACAATTCCACCACCAACCACAACGAGATCGTATATGTTGCAGGTATCTCTGTTAATAAGTATAAAAATTAATCACAGTGAAACTATATATATATAATTACTTCTTAAGTTTAATACTTACTTTGAAGTGGACGCATAACGACGTATTAAATAACTTAAATTCGACGATACCGTCGGTCTCGTCAATAAACTCAAAATACTGCTTGTCATTTTGATTTTTTCCTTCCTATGAATTTGATGTTATGTCCAATCTGAAAAGACACGCGCGAAGATCACACATCTCGATTGTTTGGATAAAAAATTTTTATTTTTATTTTTTTCCTACGAGATTATTAATTACATCATACTTTCCTAATCACCGTTTAACCATTCTGCGACTAAATTCATTTCAATAAACGCTTCTTTCGCGTTATTTCAAATTATTTTCAAATATATTTGTTGTTGTTTTTTTTTTTTTTTTTTTTTTTTTTAATATCAATAGCTTCATTCGTAACAATTCTCCAATGAGAAATAATAATTCATTTTCTAGATTAATAAACTAAATAATTTGTGAATTAATTTATTATTATTAAAAGCTTTCTAATTGTTAATTTTCGTACAAAAAAAAAAAATTGGAAGAAAAAAAAAATAATTATACTTGTTTCAAAATCGCTAATATTTTTCAAATTGTAAATACATGCATTTTCCGAAATACTGTTTTACAAAAAAATCTAATTCAACAATGACTTATTCAAATGATCTGATAATTAAGGTGGTTTCTTTCAGATAGAACTTGTTTACTCTTTTCCATACTAGTTTCAGAGTTTTGAACACGTGGTTTCGGTTACACAACACAATAAATATATCTGATTTTGATTTCTTTAATGAATTATGAAAGCAATTCTATTTATATGCACTACTCGATCGTAAAAAAGTTATCGTTGTTAGAGATACAACTCTATTTCCGTTTCCCATAAAACACGTGTTTACGACTAGCTTCTCGATTACAGAAAAAAATCAATAGATATCGAACGACAGTCACGCGTATCGAACATAAGTCGTTTATGTTTCTACTACTTTGCAGTTAGAATAATCTAATAATCTATTTGTAGATTTTCCCCAAAATTTCTTGCTTTTATTTACTTGTTAGTAAATTTTACATGTACAATATTTATTATTTTATGTTATTGTATTGTATTATATATAACTTATTATTTTTCTCTATGTCAGTAAAATAATATAAACTGTAATATAAATAAAATAAAATTAAAATATAATTAATATAAACTAAAAAATATTGTGCAACATTTATTACGAAAAAATAAGAAACTTTCGAAATGATCTAATATAATCTGTTGCTGTCTTCGTTTATATTTAACGCGACCTTGATCAATGTTTACTGTATATGTATATCACTTAACATGATTCGTTTTTTATTACATATTGCACAAGACTTAAGTCATTTATATTTATCGTAGTCATATATATATGTATGAGATATAAAGATCTCGAGTTTCTTGGAAAAGTTAGAAGAATTTCCTTGTGTAAAAAAGAGAGAAGGAGACAGATAAATTAATTGATAAAAGAGAGAGAGAGAGAGACAGAGTAAATGATAAAAATTCATTGTAAGATAGAATATAGATGAGATATTTTATTAACAAAATTCAATCAATACCAACCAGCAAGAAATTTTATATATATATTTTTAAATCTAATTTAGAATTTCACATAGTTTCGCATGGTTATATAGCATGACTCAATTTAACGATGACACATGCACGCGCATCAGAAACTTCTTTCCTCTTATATTTCGCAAAGAAGACTGACGAGCAAATTTTTTTTTCCAATGATTCGTATAGAAAGGAGCTCTCTACCTCATAATTTTCGTGTTTCAAACTCGACGTTGTTCCATTGATAAAGAAGCTTGTTCGCTCATATCAAGCATGTGGCGCCTCCATATTATATCGTGTTCGCATATCCTCACTAATCAGAAATTTTTCTTTGATTTTCTATTCTAATGTATGTTGATTGAAAGAATTTATTGCGCGATTAATAAGATTTTCGGATAAATTATAATATTTGAAATTTGTAGAAAATATTTTAATCCTTAATGTTAAACATTTATTAGATTTTCTTTCGAAATGATTCATTATGTTGATTACAAATATAATATTATCTAATTCATGATTTACAACCTGTCGAATAGTAAATAATTGCTATTTCATTGTAATTAATCTGTTACTTATAATGACATTTATAAATTAATTACATTGTACATTAAAATATAATTATAGATCTTCATCCTAAAAGAGTAAAGAAAAATCTAATTTACATCGAAATATCATAAATATGACTGAAATATTGAATAATAGGCTACAATTTGAGCAACAATTATCGTTTATAATAATTAAAAACGTTTATCCCAAAAGTATGAAGATACACATGAAATTACATTCAAAAAATTATAAATTAAGATATAGAAAACTTTGTTATAAAATAAAATAAAAAATATCATTTATAATAATTAAAAGCCTTCACGCGACACAAATATAAAACCAAAAGACACTTTTATAATATTATACAAATACATATACAAAATATACAAATATAATAAATATCAATCATAGTTTATAATAATAATTGTTCAAATTTCGTGCATCAGTCGTTCTTAACTTGTATCGATCTGGATATATATTGCTGGATACAAAGAGTAATATATTTCACTTATTGTCCTGGAATTTGGAACTAATGCGCAGAAGTGCGTTATTGCAATCCCAAAGGCGACTCTTGTCATTATTTTCAAAAGTATTGTCTTCGGACAGTGGTCGTTCGGACCATACGGTGTTTACGATCGTTTCGAATGGGAATGGTGTTCTTGGTTGGTTCACGATAGCCGTTTGCAATAAATACGAGACAATATACGCTCTCCTCTGATATATGTATCTTATACGTGGACGAGTATATAACTATCGAGGACAGTTTCGAAACGCTTTAAAATACTCTTTCACGTTCGTTTTATTCCATACACCATACATGTTTGTACCGGTTATGGAGTCCTTAGCTTACATCTAATTCAACATTGATGTATCTATAAATTTGTCATATATGTATAGGCATATAGGATTTATATGAAATTCTACTGTATTAAACATATAAGATTTATAGGATATGTATAGAATGTGTAAAATATACAGGGTTAAACAGAATATGTGAGAAATACTTCGGGAGTTGATTGTACACGTAAGAATAATGAAAAAAATGTATATAAACATATGTTTTATCTATCTTCGTTCATGAGATCTTGTTATTATCTAATTACCTTTATATAAGATGCTCAATATGATCGGATTGCATTTTAATGCAAACTTGTAAACGTTTTGTTATATATCTAATTACATTTACGTTTGTTTTGTATATAAAGTTGGTTATATCTCATTAGCGAAGACAAGTAGATCATATGTCTATAGGAATTTTTTTCATTATTTTTAGATGTACAATTATGTCTTGAATTATGTTTAATATGTTTTGTTATACCCTGTATATGAAAAACATGTGATACATAAATTTTACGTTCACGAATGAACTACAGTAAGTAGTACAAATTATTTGATACATATTTTCACAAATATACGATTACATGTAGGAAACTAACATTTCTTTGATAAAATTATTCTGACTAGTAGATTTCATATAAATTGTGTGTGTGTATTTGTTGGCTTTCTCTCTTTATTTAATTCAAACGAAGCATTCGTATTAGTTGAGAAAGTTTATTATACGTTACTACACTCTGCAATAGTTCGTACAAAATTTTGAAGACGAATCTCACAGATCGATTAAACTTGAATGCATACGTATATGTACATATATACGTATAGATATACATATATAGAAAGTTCAGTATTTAAAATTCAAACTTACAGTACAATCTACTTCTCCCTTCTATTTTATTTTTCCCTCTTTCTCTCTCATGTTCATTCACTCATTTTATTCGTGCAACATAGACGAAACCCACCTGGCCAGAACGTGTTGGTATTCGAACCCCTGCATGAGTTTTCCTACCCTCTTTTTTCTCGTCCTTTCGTTCTTAGCCATTGTCCTCTTTTTTTATCCTCTCTTTCTTTCATCTCACTTCATCTCATTCTCCTGTCTCTCAAATGAAACTCTATTTATGTCTCTTATTACACGATCGAATTTTTCTCTCATTTCTTCTTATTTCTTTTTTAAGACAATTGGTCATCGAAAGAAAAAATGCGAATATCATTTATTTTTAATAAATAAAATATAAATGATAATAATAATAATAATTATAATAATAATTATTATAATAGTAATAATATTAATAATAATAATTTACTCAGAAAGTTCATGCAAATGAAAGAAACTAACCACACTCCATACATCCTAATAACAATAGCAGATAGACAGATGGAATATCCATATACACGTCAACCATATGATACTCACATTATGACATTAACTTAATTACGGCCCGTAAGTACTATAAAAAGAACCACCGGCAGAAGTTGAGAAAATTTAATAATAATAATATAATATTTTGTCAATAATAAGATAATTTATTTATTAGAATTAATGAATTATTATGATTTGTGAAAGAAACGATGGTTTTTAAAATAGAGTATAGTAATGTATATATGTTACAAAATACTTTGTTATTGACAAAGAGTCTGGATTTTACACGTGAAAGGTTCTGGAGAAACGACTCGTTCGTTCGACTCACAATCAGTGTAGCTTATCATATGGGATAAACGTGGCAGACAATTTTCATCGTTGATCGTATCGCTGAGCATAGGAAGTACATTTTAAAAGCAATGTATCTCCGATCGAGAATTTTAAATCTATTGAACGAAGAACGCCGCCATTAGACGATACATTTCGCGATATCCATTAGTAACATTTTTGTCTCTACTGAGTTTATTTTCTTTTTCTTCTTTTTTCCGCATCTCTTTCAGCGATTACTATTACAGAATAAAAGCTCAAATATATTACTCGTTCTACCAAGCTCCAAAAAATGATAGTTTAATTTATTTATATCAAATTTGTTTGATGACATAAGTTGATTTTTGTTACAAAAGAAAAAGAAAAATTTAACAATAAGTCTATCCAAAACAATAATTAAAATACAGAAAATGAAAGAGAAAATATATATAATTCTATAAATAAACACTGTTTGCTGTTTATTCCGATGATCGTAAAGAAATAAAGAAATAAATAATTTTACCGTAACTGATTAATTTCTATTACAAAATATAATTGAAGAAAACAAACTGTTACTTTTATTATTATAAATTTAATATAAAATAATTGAAGAGAAATACATTATATATAGTTATACTATACTTATGAAGAGTAAATAAGAAAGTAAATAAGAATAAAAAATAAAGAGAAAGAATGAAGATAGAATAAGGTACCGAGTCAGTACAATACGGTACTGGGATGCGCGTCTTGCGCGGACGCGGCTGCGCGTCGGTTCTTTGACTCGGTGCACGGAGTCAGTCAACCCGCCGCCGGCGTTCAGGCAAGACGGTCTTTTCATTTTGAATATTCTTATCTTGCTTGTTCATTTATCTTCGTGATAAGGATATAAAAAAGGACGAGTATAAAATAAAAGATAAAAATAATCACTCGAGTTTTATTACAATTTATTTACCCATATAAAATAAAAAATCCACAAATAGAATTTCATCTCTTGTATATTACTTTTATTCGCGCGCGTAGATCGCGAGTGAATTATCTCAAAGAGTAAGAAGGAAAGTAAATCTGTAGTCTGATGCGCCATACCGTAACCTTCGACCTTTCCTACGGCGATCCGTGGAATTCGTGGAGATTCGAGTGCCGTGCAAGTGCGTCGTCGTAACGATGACGATGACGCGAACGGACGCGCGTTTCCGCGTGTAGCCGAGCGGCACGCCGTTCATAACACAGAGAACAAAAAAAGAAAACAAACTAAAAAACAAAAACAAAATCTTTATTCTCCGTCATTGAAATTTACCCTTGGAACTCATTTTTTAAATCGATTATCTAACGACAAACTGTCATAAGCTGACAATTAATAAGTTTGTAAAATTGAAGAAAAAGAGAACGTTGAAAAAAAATTTATTACATACAAACATACTCTTTGAAAGAGAAAATAATAAAAAAAATAAGAAAAATATAAAAACAGAAGAAAATGGAGGACGAACTGAGATGTCCTTGTTGCAAAGAACTATTCACGGAGCCTGTTTTGTTGCCCTGCTGGCACGCTTTGTGTCTCTCGTGTGCTGTTAATCTTCAAGCACCACCCGATTCACCACCCGAATCTACGACAGACTCCTCAAATGCTCCCTGTTCTGATCAAGAAGCCGACAAATTGTCGATACTTTCGGAAACAGACTCGGGCGTCGTCTGCGGTAGTACATCGACTAGTTCACGACCTGGAAGTTACGTTGGTACACCCGGGAACGGTGGTTTCCCACCATCCGGAGGAACCCTTTGTCTATCTTGTCCTGTATGTCGCAAAACCGTATATTTCGACGAGGGTGGTGCTCATAATTTGCCAAAGTATAGGGCTATGCAACGTATTGTTGAAAAGTATCAAGAATCTAAGAATGCAAGAATGCAATGCCAGATGTGCGAAGGTGAACCTCGTGAAGCTACCGTCGCTTGCGAGCAATGCGAGGTGATTTAAATTTTTTTCTTATCTCCATCGATTTATCATTCTTTTCTCTTTGAGTAAATGTTTTCTTGTTTACTGTCTCTCTTTTTCTCTCTTTCTCTATTTTCCATCTATCACGTTTTTATTATTAATTTTTTTCGGCATATTATTAATTGTTTATATCCGAAGATTGATATTTGTTAAATGTAGTTAGATTTATTGGAATACACATGTTTATATAATATATTACCAAACTATTATTAATACTTATAGAGTTAGTTAGAGTGTGTTGCCTAGTTTTATTGATTGCTTTGACTAGTTCAATTGAACGCTTACATTAGTACGAATTAGATTTGATTTAAGATTTTTTTTTAGATTAATCTGTATCGTTATTGTAGTAATCAAAATTTATGTATGATCAGAGAAATCGTATATTACATTTCTTGTTGTTTCATTATTTACTGAATAAGACTCTAATTACTCCAATTTATCTTGTATTTTATATTTTTTTTATTTGAGAATATTTAGAACAACAGTAATGTAATCTGACGTTTGAAAGTTAGGATAGAAACATCCTCAATGTAAAAGTAGCAATCAATTTCAAAGAATTGTTCGTATAATAAACACTAATCATTTACTATTATTTTTTACGGTACATACTCGTGTCCTCGATCACGTACCGATTGCTATAATAAACTCGTTCAAAACAAGGACGACCTTGTTATATCCAATCATTTCAAAGCAATTGATTCATTGTTATATTATTGTTTCTTATATGACCTGAAAAAGAAGAATTCTTGTCATTTATCTGTTCTAAAACATATATAAATATATTTCGATTTCATGCAAATGTCTTAAACCACAAGTCACAAGTTTGAATTTGTGATAGATTGATAGACAGGTTTACAGTTTAGACGTCAGTATCGAAAAGTTTTGACGTAAGTCGATTCGTTTAAATCATCCAGTTTTACGATGAAAGTAACATTTTATAATTATCGAATTATTTTAACATTGATTTTAATCGACACGTAATCTAACCTACATACTTTTTATATATATCTAATCATCTTTTTAGACTAGAATAAACTTTTGTATTCTTTATCTAAAACAAATTCACAGAAAGGGTTTTTGATAAAAGTTTCAAGTAATCTTTCTTGGTTGTTCGAAAAAGTGCAGTACTTGATTTATTTGCATTGCACTTGGATCGTAAGTTTATTATTTTATCGAATTATGTATAAATAAGAATATAATTAGAAAATTACATATGTTAAATACATCGAACATGACAGTTTTAACAATTAATTGATCAAGTAAATGTAACAGTTCATAAAAGTGTCGTACATATATACTAGATTTATTTATGTTTATTTTATTTCGATGCGTTTGATGTTTGTCGTCTTTCTAAAACGCGTTAGTAACGTTTAAAATTATCCTAGTAAATGAGGAAAGAAAGCAAATAGAGGAGTGTTAGATGATAAGGTGAAAAATAGATCTTTTGAATAGTCACGATCAACTTTTGATCTCACCGATGTCTGGCGAAATTTATGGAGCAATTTCGTAACCGTGAGAAATCCTAAGACGAGGAAATATCTTTTGATATCGGATCGATGTCAGTACATTTATCAATCATATTTTTTATTCCTTTCGTTGTTTATTATTTTTTTAATTGATCAACAATATTATAGTTTCAAATTATATTAATGTATATTACATATATAGATTTTTTAAATATATTTTGTAATATTGTTAATGTGATGTGTATTTTTGCGGGTGGGTAATTATTATGACAGTGGATTAGGTCAACAAATTGTTAAAGTCAATTTTATAGTTTATTTTATATTTTTTATAATTATTTATATTATAAAATATATTTAAACAATTTTATAATAAACAAAATAGCTGACTTTATTTTTGTTTATGGTAACAAAAACCTTATTTTTGTTAATGGTAACAACATTTGATTCTTAAAACTATATGATAATTAATTAGTCGTATTTTATCAATTAAGAAAAAACAATTAGATCGATTTTTAATTATTAATTAATTTTTTTTTTTATAAATATTATTGCTTATAAAATAATTTATCGGATAAATTTTGTTTTATTAATCAATAATTTATAATAATCATGTGCAGGTGATAAAAGTTCTTTTAATATTTTGTAAGATCTCATCGAAGTGAAATGAATCAATTCGTTGAACTTTTCGATACAAACTTGGACGATCGATCAGCACAGTCTCGAAAGATTTTTCTAGCGTTCGTAAATACTCGTAAGAGGGTTCGTAAATAGAAGTTCGCGATCTTGTGCTGAACTCAAGTGAGAAAGAAAGAGAGAAAAAGAAAAGCAACGAATTGCAATAAACCCGAGAACGAAATCGTGTTAGAATCCGATGAAAAGCGCGACGAGTACTTGTCGTCCTTTTCAACGATTTTACGCTGTATTTTCCAAAGAATACGTAGGAAAAACTTTCCTTTTTTTTGCTACACGATCGAACAAACGTATCACTAATCGCATCGTATATATATATATATATATATCGTGCACCTTTGTCACGTTGTGTGTGTGTGTGTATGTGCTTATGTACCTCCGATGATACTAAACCCTCTATAATCTTCCTTTCCTTTACAAGAAATTTACCAGAAAATTGACAGTATAACTTATACTTAACCTTCCATAAATATTTTTTCTCAAGTTTAAAATAAAATGTTTCGGACGACAATGTGGTATGTGTAACCATTATAAAAAAAAGTAGATTCTGGTTTAATAAAGAATAAAATTAATCTTGAAAGTTTCCAATTTAGTAATAAAAAATAAAAAAATAAAAACATTAAAGTGAGTAATATTTCTTTTATTAAGTCCTAATTCTTGTCCAAATAATTGGTTTACGCAAAGCCGTGTTTTTAAGATAAGCATTTGTAACATTATATCTTACATATATATTTTATTATTATATACTATTATTATATTATATTAAATACAGTTTAGATTGAAAAATTGTTAAAACTTCGTATACATGCATACATTAAGCAATAATTTTATAATTATGAAATAAATAAGTTTAGAATAATATATATAAATATGAATATATAATTTATAATTATATAGCATTATTGAAGGTTAACAAATTTATTGTACGTATGTGTACTAGTATATCTAATCGGATATTAAGTTTGTAGTTTACATACCGTTCCTCTTAACCCTTTGTACCTCTATTCCCGTCCATCTGAACTAATACAGAAGTAATAAACCATGTTATATGTAATATACAAAGCAAAGTTATTATGGTTATGATGTAGGCTAGTTTACCAAAACTCCGACGTATGAAACTATCCCACCTTACTTGTCTTGTCTTACTTTTCTAACTTGAAACGAAGTACTCTAGTCTGGCTTTTAGTTGCATTCGTAATTTTCATATTAAAAGATCGGGTGTATTAAATACTTTTAATCATCTTTATTTTAATAATTAAATATTTCATCTTTATAGATTACCCTAATAAAATATTATTTTTATGTTAAATCTGTTTTTCATTATGTCACGCAAATACAATTTTGCAAACGTTTTTAATGCTATTTTATATTAATATTTAGGATAATAAAACTTCGTTAAAATCAATTGGAGAATAAAATAATTACACAGATAAGAACATTTTTGATATAGCAGCATCCGAGAGAAGGAAACACAGGTGGTGTTAAAGAAGGTTTTCATCTCGTTATTTTCTTCGCAGTTTCTTCGTATTTTCGTGTAGGGGAAGTGACCGTAGGATTAGAGAAAGGAAAAAGTTATTACAAGAGTCTGCCCACTTGCGACGTAAGATGTACATTTTTTCGTTTACTTTCTTCTTCCGTAGATATACAGACACATACACACACACAYTCGCATACATACAAATGAACGGAGAGGACAGTAACGTGTCTCATCCTTATTCCCATCTCGTTTCTTCCTATGAAGAAGACTTACTTCCTAACTTCTTATAAATGAGTGAACGAGAGAAAGAGAGAGAAAGAGAAATATAGTTCAAGCGGAGGAATAATAAAAAGGGTAACAACGTCTCATACCATTTTTTCTCTCTTTTTCTCTCGTTAAGATTCATGTCTCTCGTATCGCGGTCATCTTCTCGACGCTCGGAATATGGAATTGTTCCGAGCAACTATCTCTAACTTGCTAAGTGAGAGAGAAAGAGAGGTTTCTTTTAAATTCACTAATGTTTGTGTTTCTTTACTAATCTCGCATCACTCTCGTAGAAGTTACAATTTTTTTGTTCCAATTATTAAATTATTTCGAACTTTAAAAAACAAATTTATTCCAAGTTAAAAGTAACGTTAATTGAAATTTATAAGAAGTGATTGATTTAAGTAATGATAGAAATTATTGAATCCAAATTTTCTGTGTTTAGTTAATTGATTTAAATAGAAATTTATTTGTTGAAAATTTTTTTTAATATTATTTAACGTAATAATACGTTAGATGTTTTTGTAAAAGCTACTATGTTTTCTGGAGTACTCTGCGATTTTTTTATTTTTTGTAAACATGATGTCTTGTCTCGATTGTTGAAGAAGAACCTGACCTACCTCTTTAGGTATTCTCTTTTTCGTGAGTATCTTTTGTGATTTCGCAGAGTTTCTTTTGCAAACTTGTATAGACGAACGTTTTAAATACAGAAATTCTCTCTGAATGTACCCTGGATAGGATGTTTCAAACCGAAAGACAATTTTTGTATACTCGTTGAAAAGTTTTCTAAGAAATTATGTAGGTTAGCAATTTAAATTCTCTGTGGAAACTATCGCAACGTTCACTACGTTTATTTTTTAAATTAAAGATACTTTGTTTCAAAAATATTCTTACGTTTATTATTTATTTGTTCTTCTTAAGTTATTCTATGAATTTTAAGAAATATATATATATTAACAACTTATTGTAATCAATTTTATAAACATTTTGCATATAATTTTTATCAAATGAATATTTGTCTATTTTATACAATTATAATTTTTATACCGTGTGTATTGAGATCGATATATTGTAAAAGATTATGTTAGACATAAAACGTGTTATAAAGAATTTTCATTTTCATTATTTCCATATCTTCTTTTTTATTCCGTGACGTCTATCACACCTTCCCTCGCAAACGTATAATATTTAGTAAGTGCATCCGTTGTAGAAATGTAGAGAAATTAATCCTATGATTTAACGCGATGACTGTGCAGGCGTTCATATTTTTTGTACTTGCCCTCAAAAGAGTCGGTTGTATTTCCTGAATGACTTAGGAAAATAATGTTGATTAAAAGTCTACGAGATTTATAAAGATAAATATCTTTTATTTTTCCTAGCTGTATATCAAACAGAGAAGAAGATAAATTGATCCATATGTATCTTTGAATAATAAATCGTGATAAACGTTGTGGTGTAAGACTTTAAAAAATAAGAAGAAAAAAAAACAGTAAAAATCATGATGTGAAGTCTCCAATAAAGGATTTTAATTATAATTTGAATATTATCTTAGTTGTTGTTAGCTCATCGAGATTTTGTTTTAATTTATATCACAATTTTTTGTTATGAAATAGAATTGTTTTTTAGACACACAAATCCAAGTTGAAAGTGTTAATTTAAATAAGTAAAAGAAAGAAATAATTAAAATGTGTTGAATGAAACAAGACTGCGATAAAAGTTAAATTTTTGTTTCGTTCTAGGTGCTGTACTGCGATGCCTGCAGAGAATCTTGTCATCCAAAACGTGGTCCCTTGGCAACTCACAATCTTGGACCACCGCGAGGCAGCTGGCAATCTAGCAGTGGTAAAGGTTCTCGTGCATCTGAAGGTACGCCAGTTTGTAACGATCATAACGGCGAAGCTGTTTCTCTCTATTGTGCACTCTGCAAGATCGCGATTTGCGGACTTTGCCTTCGAGATCGACACGCTGCTCATCCACACGATGTTCTGCCATTGGCAGCCGCGTGCAAGGCTCAAAAGGTAAGTTTAAACGAATCTAATAATATTGTTTATTTTTTTGTTTCTTCATTAGGAAACGAGATACATTTCTTGGTCTTCGAGTAATTATATATTACAACTCTCGTAATTTATTGATAACGAAAGTTGTAAATTATTTTTCAAGTGTTACATTAAAAAATGCAAAACTTAGTATACATTAGATAAATGAACGTTTTCTTATCAAAGAGTAAATGATTCTTAGACTTGTTCAATGAAATATTATCGAATATTTATTATTGTTTATTCGAGAACGAATTTTTATATGACGTAATGTATTTTCAGTTTTCCTTTAATATCAAATTTTATAATACAATTTGGACTTCATTTGTTTTCAATATTTTCTACTTATTTAAACAGTTAATTACATATTAACTTATTAAACAGTTCATTAACATATCAAAATTTTAATTTATAATCGAACAAAAATTCTTATTAATATATACATATGAAATTTGAAAAGGAGGGTAATTTTAAAATAAGCATATAGGGTTCGTATGTATATACAAATACTTGGAAGGTAATTTATCTGCATCGACGAACAAGCAACATTCGAAGATAATCGATGACGCGTCGCCACAATGGACCGAGCCAATAATCCACGCTCATACAGAAACATATATACATACCATGGCATATTTGCTACCACAGCAATGTACATTGTATGAAATATTTTTCTACGAGCGTGTGAGCGAGCTTCGCTCTTGCCATTGAATTTTACGCATCATATAACCTAACGATCCATCGACGAGCACCAAGATTCGCCCGTTCGTTTTTGAGAGATTACAACCACAATTTTAAAATATCGACGTGTTAAGTAATCTTCTCGGAAATAATTCGAATACAGTTATTTCCGATTAGAAAATAATTCCTCATTAAAGTACGATAAAATGTATATGATTTTTTGTTTTCATTTTATCTCCTAATTAATTTATTATATTACAAACCAAAAATACTTCCTTTAATGAAATTGTTAAAAATATATTTAGTACATCTTATTCATCAATAAATAAATTGTATTTTTTTTTTTGTTTTACTAAAATTTTCTTTCATTATATGAAATCTTTAATTTATTTGAATCGTTAACAATGAAATTATTTATTTATTAGATACCTTGATCCATCCAATCGTCAATCTTGTGATGTAAAACAGAAAGTTTAATCTTAAGCCGCACTTTCATAATTCGTTACTTTATCTATTCAATGAAATAAAGTAAAATGTTTAATATGCGGATTAAATGGATGCATTTAAATCAATGTTATTGAACAATCGTGTTCAGTAGGTACCTAATCTTCCTAGAATCCTCGCACACATAGATGTATATATCGAGTTTATATCAAACAAAGCCAAGTAGGCTAAGACAACGAGGCTGGATTGCCGAGACGGTCAGTTGTTCGGCAATCAATTTATCAAATTACTAGAGCTAGCAGGCGGTTTTGACGATGCGCAGCGGCAATTTATCAGATTAGTCGAGGAAGTGATTCCCATAGGACGATGGGATCGCGGCCCCATATGTCAGGAAGCGACCAGGTGTTGGCGTCGACTGAAAGCCGCTTCGACATTTTCGAAGCGTACATGTACGTATCTACACCCACACATCAAGGTAAGATACGTGATATTGTAACCAGCTGTCGATCGAACTATTCCGAACATTGTTACTTCGATTAGAATATTGTCCGTTTATTAACGTAAATTAGTAGAAACATTTTATATTTATTTTTGACAAAAAGTTAATACAGAAGATTAGAACAAATATGGAAAAATTTAGATATTCTTAGAGGAAACAAAATTCCATACATAATAAGTAAATTATTAATTAAAAAGAAAAAAAAACCATAATTATAAATAACATTAGATTAATAGTTAGTATTATAAATATACAATTTTAATTAGAAATCATTTCAATAAAAATTGATATGTTAAATTTCCACGATAACTTTGTTCACGAGATAGATAATTTGTTTGCAGGATAGATTAATTAAATGACATTGATTTTAGTTTATTATAAAAGAACGAGGATCACGTTAAAAACATGTATTCTTATAAGCTTAGATTCTTTGTCAACTCGTTTCATCGAGTATATGGGTTTCGCGTAATCCTTGGTGTACTATCACATATTAATGTTGGTATACTAGAGAGTATGGTAACATATATATATACACATATGCTTCCGATAGTTCCTGGTAATTACTTGGAGCCGAGGCTAATCACGAGAAGGCCGTCGTTGTTTTCGAGCGACGCTTGTGCGATAATTCCTGTTTAAGCCTTCGAGCTGGGCCATACACGAAGGACGCGATGACGCACCTATACCTAATATTCTATACTACTCTCTCACTCGTCGAAGATGAATAAGGTTTGCAAGTGTTCGCTTGTCTGCTGCGTACAGGTTTCGTACACGCGCGTGTCGTGATTTACGACAATTTACGTCTTTTGGGACTTTATCTCGACGTTCGCCTTACACCCGACAGCGAGATCGATGTAAAACGCTCATTAAAATACCATCCGTCCTTGTCTAACTTATATATTTCAAGTTACTTTTAAATCGTTCATCATTTATGCGAGAACCTTTTGAGATACAATCGTTCCTGTACATATACATTTTAATTATGTCTTAATGAATTTTAATAATAATTAGTATACAGAGATGGTGATTCTGGTAACTGGAATGAACTGTTGTTCTTTTTTTGTGAATAAAAATATAGAATGATAGGGAAAAAAATTATATGTCATAATACATCCTTACTTCCTATGACCTTATTTTTTTTTCTTTGTATGACTACACCGGTGGCACACGCCAGGTGCAATTGTAGTTTATTTTTTAATGCAATCCAATTTCACGATTCATTAATTTATCCATTGCCTTTTGTTGTCATTCAATCTATGTTGTTATACTTGTATTATATTATATGTTTTAACCGTTTTAACGTCACGCAATGCGATCGCGCTGTTCGTGTACTGTGGTGAAATGTGCAACGATGTTTTTTGGTCACGATTGTCAATTCACAACGTTGTTTGATTTCAAATGTAGCGAATAAGCAATGGGATCGCGACAGATAAATTCTTGCTGAGATAAATGAAGGAAGCACTATCGCGCTGCATGGCACAATTCGACATGGATTTTTAAAAACCCTTGGCACTAAAACGGTTAATCTATTGGAAATATTATCGTTTAATAAGTTCGTATGCATTCATTATTTTTCTACAATCTGATAAATGTTAATGATTCAAACATTTTTGTCTTTATTTCTTCATTCGTGATTTGTATATGTGAAAGTTTGACAAACTAATTGTTTGTTACATATTGTTGGAATAGTAGAATAAAAAAGTAGCTTATTTTTACAGATAATAAGACGAAAGGTACACACACACATACGGCTATATGCAAACACAAAACAGATCTGATCCAAGTATTTTCTTGTTCGCGCATAAAACTCACTCAAGCATCCTTTTCCCGTTCTATTGTACGATTTTGATAGGGAGATGGATTAATAATCTAATGCAAACGAGCGTATATCCGTGGCCCGTATAAAATGCCACTATCGTCCAACGTTAATCCGCGAACGGATCGCGTGCAAACTATACGTATGTATATTGTATATTCATATATACATTCGTATATTCGCACACAAATACAATTCTAGAAACGTCAACGTTAAACGTACATATATGCATAACGTAGTTCGACAGACGTATGAAAAATTTATTACTTTCTACATATGTACTATATATATATATATATATATATATATAGGATACTACGTATATTTTTATTTTTTTTAAAACGAACGAACCCGAACGTAGCTAAGCGTTTATCTTCAGGATTTTAGCGCTTTGCTCGGACACGTTGTTCCATGATCGTTATCGTTGTCGTTCGTACATTTCTCTTCTACCGAATAATAAAACGAGAAACGAGATTACATTGAGCGCTGTTCGAAATGTTAGTGCCGATAACCGATAGCCTTCATTGCTTTTAAGAGAATGCGAGCGACATAACGCATGCGTGGAACGCGGAAGATTCTATTAATCGATTTGTCAGGCAAATATATCTGCAGAAATGTGTGCGTGTGTATATGTGTGTCTACGCTTTTACGTAGTTTTTTTTTTTTCAACGGTGTGTTAATTGATCGTAAATCGTTTAAACTCGTAATACAAAGTCCACGACTAGACACGAGTACCGATATCTGCCGATGACGTATCTCTAATTTGGAGCTAATTAATTAGGGAGAAACGCGTGGGATGGCATTTGTAAGTTAATTGAAGATGTCCGGTTTGTGAGTGGACATTTTACAGACTACGTTCTTCTCCTTCTTTAGTTCCGTTTTGTCCTATTGGAAATTGAATACGTCCGTCTGAATTGCATTTTCATTCTTTTATCATAAGAATATTTGATTTCAATTTAAATAATTTTTCGCTTAGGTTTTATTTTAGTTTCGCTATTCGAATCGTTACATGGTTAATTCAAAATTATATGTATAATTTTCTATGTAAAAGTCATAATGCGTTTTAGATCGAATACGTATAACAAAAATAGATATCAGTTATTAATTAAAAAAATATTAATAAAATATTAAAAAAAAAATAATGAATATAGGAATCACTCATTTCTCAAATCGATTAATTCTGCACATAAAATTTTTTAAAACAATTGATTAAATTCTATACATCGTCGTACTATTTATCATTTAATGACATTATTTAATGAGTTAAATCTAATTATTAAAAGAAATTTATTTTTAATTTAAAAAGTTAGTTTAATTTAAATTCTAAAAGTAGAATTAATCGTTTTGATTTACGAACGATCACAATTCATGTAATGAAAAGATAAATAGTTTTTTCGACATTGTACGTGCAGATAAGTAATCAATTTAAATCTTTAGATGAGTTGAAAAGTTTTGAGCCTAACAATTTTTCTTTTCCATCAAAACCGACTTATATTTTTAAACGTAGTCACAAAACTTTTCTCAACTCGCTCTCTTATATTTAGA